TACAGTTTTCTGTCTTTTGAGATGGGCAATATATTATGGAGCCAAAAGGTTTTTAGGTTTGAGAAACGTAATTATGAAGACTGCAGCACATCACGGGATGCAAAACTCTTATTCTTTAATAAATTACATATTGCAAAATACCTGTTCATTGATGTTAAATTATCTACAATGTAAATATTTGGTGATATGAATATAACCTTTCATTAAATAACTGAACAAAGCCTATGTGGCAGGCTGCGTGAGTCACTGATGCAGATAAATGCTGTATTGATTACCAATGCAAAGGTCCACACCGTAGGCTGATTTTATTTATCAGAATACATGCACCACTCCAAAACTGGAAATACTCCTACCCACAAAGTATTTAAAGGATGTTCAAAATAAAATCCCCCTCTGCAAGTATAAAACCCTGTCAAAGACTTCAGACTTTTCAAGTACACTGCAGACTTGAAATGTTGGAAAATATGGGCTCCAGACTTCTCTTTTTTGGCCTGGCAAGCAAATGTGACATCTTTGAAGTCCTGGATGCAGCCCGCCCCTGCGCAGAGCTGGCCACAGCAGACAAAGCAGCTCTTGCCCTTGGAGTTTAGCCAGGCCCAGCCCAGGCAGGGCCCAGGGCCGTGTGTGCCCCCTTCCCACAGACAGTGCAGCCCAAAGCTGTGGCACCAGCTGGGTGCACACGGGGCTCCAAGTGTCTGACCCTCAGCTGGGGACTGGGAGAAACAGGAGGAGTTGTACGGATCCCTTGGGAAGCTGCCCCAGAGGAGAGGCTGGGCAGAGCTACAGAATACAGCAGGGATTCATTCCAAGGATCTCCTCCATGGATGCACCTTGGGCAGCACCAGAGCCCAGCCAGGGCTGCACCCAAGATGAACCCAAATGGCCCCAAAATGCACGAGCGCTGCCGGGGTCTCTCCCTGGGCTCAGCTCTGCTCCATGTGCACATTGCAGTTCAGTGTCCAGTTCCAGCTGCAGCCCCTGCAGTCCCATCCTGCTTGTTTTTCTCTCTGCAGCCCACGGGGTTTGTGCTCTTGGGGCTGAGATTTGGATCATTTGTCCTTGGTGCCCAGCTGGAGCAGGAATTGTTTTGTCTCCCTGCTCTGTGCACAGAGCTCACCATGCCCTCATGTGAAGCCCAGACCCACACACTAAAGCAGCACAGAATCTGGAAAATAGAAAAGCTGAAACTTGAGGCATCAGTATTACCTGTCCAAAAATCCCCATGGTGGTCACACCATCACTGGTCTCATTCTCTCCGTTCTGCTTCCCTCTGTTTGTTTCTCAAACCCCTCACTTGAAGGGGAGCCCGGGGTGAGTTCAGCTTTGCTGCACAGCCAGGCCCACCACAGACACGTGCCCCCAGAGACAGACCATGTCAGGACAAGGATGCTCCCCCTCCACCAGAACCCCCCAGAGAGCCCTGCATGGATGAAGCAGCTTGCAGGACACTGGAGGGAGGCAGGGGCTGGGTGGGTGTGTGCTTCACCAAGGAAGGAAGGAAGGCTGATTAACAGCTTCCCACAAATTAAAAAATGGGACAAAGCCATTCCTGGCAGAGAGGGTGGGATTTGCCCCAGGAAGGAGCAACAGGGGAAGTGGACAGAAAATCCCCTTCCGTTGGCCTTGGGAAGACAAGGCTAAGAAGTTGAAGGGCACTGGGCAGAACAACTGGAAGAAAAGTCAGAGAAACTGGGGAAGGTGGCGTTGGCTGAGTGAGTGTGTTTGCAAGAAGGAGAGAAAGAAACATGAATAGTGCAGCCAGCCAGGGGGAAAACTCCCCTTGGAGTATTGTATGGACTGGCAGAGCATACTTGGATGCTGCTGAGCACAGGGGGTGAGCTAGAGGCTCTGGGGCAAACACCGGGGCTGACACGGGGATTTGGGCAGGAGCAGCCCCTGCTCGGGGCCTGCTGGTGCTTGCGTGCCCAAGTGTGTGCAGAGGAGCAGCTCTGCAGAGGAGCAGCAGCTCTGCAGAGGAGCAGATGTTCTCCGTGTGGCTCTTACGACATCCGCCGGGCTCCTGCTGGAGATGTGTGACCAGCCCTCCCCACCCACGCGCCAGCCCTGGCTCCAGGCTCCAGCACACAGTTATGCAAAAGCATCTGCTTCGTGCTGCTCCTGACAGCCCAACATATGTACATAAATGAGCTTAAAAATAAAAATAATCCTGCTGCTGCTGCCGCCTCGCCTGGAAACTCAGATTTGGGGCTCCAAAGTGCCAGATGCTGGCTTGGCAAGGCCACCAGCGCTGAGAGCAGGGCACGTGGGGTTCCAGAGCTGCAGTCCCATCCCTCTCCCCCAAAACTGGCCAGTGTTCAGCATCACGCCCTCAGCTGAGGGGATGGAAAGGGTGCAAGAAACCACTGGGGTGGCGTGCAGTAACTAAAGCTGGAATGTTAGTCACGCCACCATCAGCACTTGTGCTTCCATCAGCAGCAGCATAAGACACCAAAAACTTCTCTGAAGAAACCCCCAGCCACTGCAAGCAGATGATCAATGCCATGATCAATTAAAACCACTGTCAGAAACACTCAGTGCATGTTGCTTATGCTGCACCCAGCTGCAAAGCAAAAAACCCAGACCTGTGGGGTCTGGATAGTGCAGACAGTAATTGCTGGTTTAATTATAGCACAACTGAGGCATCAGTCCCATGTCTTCTGTTTTTCTGGAAAAGTCTCACTCGGTTTATCACTCATTACCTGAGAATTAATGACTCACACAAACACCAAAGAAGGTGAAAGAATAAGTGTCTCTTTCATGAAAATGGAATAAATAATAACAAATACTTTTTTTGTCCTAGTGGGTTAGGTGACCTTTTAGGAAAGATTCCTTTCCTTTACCAACTGTATCTCATTTAAACATGCAGTTGTGTGCCTCTCATCTTTCTTTCTGTGTTTGATTTCTGAACCTCCCTAATTGCTGCCAAGGTTTGTGCCTGAGCAGGGGCGGGCGAGGATGGAAATTCTGCTTTGATTTAGGCAGATGTGTTTGCATATTGTCTGGGTTACCGTTTGCATGGAAGGGAAATCATCTCCGTGTTTCCTCCCTGAACCACGGGCTGTGGAAAATGTTAAATGCAGAAGAAATCATCAATAAGTCACAGTTCTGTCTGAGCAGTTCGCCCTGGAAAGTGCAGTTCTCCTCAGAGCACTCCTGCAGGTGCCAGGGCTGGGTGAGCTCAGCATGAGGTGCTGAAGGAATTCACTGGGATCTCACAGCAGCAGAAGGGGACAGAATCCCCCTGTCCCCTCTCTTCAGCAGGCTGGCCCAGCCTCTTTCCTCGGGAAGGACAGGAGAGAGCCCAGAAATCCCAGTGGCTCCTTCCTGCCCTCAGTGAGCAAACGGAGCTGGAATGAGGAGGCAGCTGGCTCTGCTGGCAAAGAGGAGCCAGCAGAGCTGAGCCCCAGCCCGGGCTGCAGGGACAGAGCACATATCAATTAATGTAGCACATATCAATTAATGTAGCACATATCAATTAATAGAGCACGTATCAATCACATAGCACATATCAGTTAATAGAGCACATATCAATTAGTATAGCACATATCAATTAATATAGCACGTATCAATCACATAGCACATATCAGTTAATAGAGCACATATCAATTAATATAGCACATATCAATTAATGTAGCACATATCAACTAATATAGCACATATAATCACATAGCACATATCAATTAATGTAGCACATATCAATTCACATGTCACATCATCAATTCCTGATTAGCATATCACAGCACTGTGTGAATCCCAGATACCACTAGATTTGTGCGAATCATCACAGATTTGTGTGAATTTCACATTTCACAGATCACAGATTTGTGTGAATTTCAGAGATTTGTGTGAATTTCACGTATCACAGATAACAGATTTGTGTGAATTTCAGAGATTTGTGTGAATTTCACGTATCACAGATCAAAGATTTGTGTGAATTTCACGTTTCACAGATCACAGATTTGTGTGAATTATCGCAGATTTGTGTGAACTTCACGGTTCAGGTATCACAGATTTGTGTGATTTATTGCAGATTTGTGTGAATTTCACGTATCACATCACAGATTTGTGGGAATTATCATAGATTTGTGTGAATTTCACGTTTCACAGATCACAGATTTGTGTGAATTATCGCAGATTTGTGTGAACTTCACGGTTCAGGTATCACAGATTTGTGTGATTTATTGCAGATTTGTGTGAATTTCACATATCACATCACAGATTTGTGGGAATTATCATAGATTTGTGTGAATTCCAGAGATTTGTGTGAATTTCACGTACCACATCACAGATTTGTGGGAATTATCACAGATTTGTGTGAATTTCAGAGATTGGTGTGAAATTCCTCCTTCACGTATCACAGATTTGTGGGAATTATTGCAGATTTGTGTGAATTTGACATTTCACTGATCAAAAAATGTGTGTGAATTTCAGAAATTGGTAGGAATTACCACAGATTTTTGTGAATTTCATGGTTCATGTATCACAGATTTGTGTGAATTTCAGAGATTTGTGTGAATTTCACGTTCACAGATGACAGATTTGTGGGAATTTCGCAGATTTTTGTGAATTTCAAACTTCACAGATCACAGATTTGTGTGAATTTCACGTTTCACAGATGACAGATTTCACATTTCACATATCACAGACTTTATTAACTGTAACAGACTTGGGCGGATTTCACAGATCTTTGAGAATTTTTGTGAATTTCCCCGTATTCTTGGGGATTACCACAGATGTGCGTGATTAATTCCACAGCCGTCACTGCTTCGTTAATTAACAAACCCCGCGTTTGATTGACAGCTGTCTCAGCCAATCAGACCTCTCCCAAGGGGAGGGGGCGCGCAGAGCGGACCAATGAGAGCGCAGAGCGGGCCGTTCAAACGCCCTAAAAGGGGCGGGGCGGGCTGTCTCCCTCACGGCCCCGCGCTCCCCTCACGGCGCTCCCGCTTGCCCGCGGCCACCGGCGAGCGCAGCCCTGGGGCTCGGGAGGCGCCGTGAGGAGCTGCAGGTGGCAGCAGAGCCGTATGTTGGTGGTTCCCACCGGCATCGTGCCTGTGGCACCGCCGGTGTAGCGGGACCGAGCCGTCTCCGTGCTCGCTTGCTGAGGCGCCTTCTCCTGAGGGCGGCTCGCAGCCCTCACACAGAATGTTCCGAAAAGGCCAGGCAGCAGCGCCCTGCTCACAAAGCTCCCCTCCTCTGGGGTTTCTGCTGACATTACCTGAAGTTCAGGTGAGAAACAAACAACTCCCCTTTGGACCCGGGGAGATTTGTGTCGTATTTGTTGTTTTAGTTCATAAAGATTGTTTCAGAAAGGATGTTTTATTCCATTTTCCCTTATTTCACTAGCAAACCCTAAGATTTTATTGCTTCTCCTACACCTGTGCTGTTTACCAGCGCTACTGATGTATAATGTGATTTCCCATAGTCCTGCCACTGTTTACTAAAATGTTTTTAGCTTATTGAGCTTGGTTCTGCACTGGCTTATCACCATGGGCTTCGCTGGGTAGGCATGGCCTTGTTCCTTCCTTTTTGCTTGTTAATTAGACATGTCATACTATTGATCCACTTTGGATGGATTGTTTTCCTGTGTTCTGAAAATACACCAAGAAATGTTTCTGTCAAGGTCTGGCATTTGGGTAGCAGGCATCTGGGGTAGAGTAGCATCTGCTGGAAATGGGATGAAAGGAAAAGCACAAGGGAACCTCGGCAGTACAGCGGGGACAGCTGCTTCCCCTCCTTGGACACAGCATTTCACAGCCGGCGGGACAAGGCGGTTGGGAGAATTCAGCCTGGGTAGGAGCACACTGCTCAGGTAGGTGTTCCTGGGGCTGTGGAGTGGAGGAAATGTCCCTGCAGGGGGACACCTGTCCCGTCCCCTCCCCACCACCGGGCAGGGCCGTGTCCCAAAAGGGAGCAGGGCAGGGCAGAGAGCTAGCTCTGCTGCCAGCTGGTGCCCACCGTGCTCTGCCAAGGACAGCTGGCACTCTCTCCTCTCCTGGGGCTGGGTTATGCCTGAAGTTCCTGCAAAGGAAAGGAGGTGAGTGTTTTTCAGAGCTCAGAAGAAATCCTTTGGGTTTTGGCCTAGAGTTTCTGTAGTACGAGGAGGTGACAGCCAGCTGGCATCTCTGCTAGCATTGCTCTGCACAGGTAGCTCAAACCATGCATCTGGAGCAAGAGAGGGAAGGTACTTGCACTAAGTGGGCTGCCATTGATTTTCATATGGTCATAGGTATTAGAGAGGAAGCAGACCTATTAAATCATCTAGTCAGTATAATCAAGGAGAACTGCTCCCTGCTGGACACTTACTGGTGGTTTGTCAACTCCACTTCAGGAAACTGAGTTGTAGTGTTCAATATAATGGATCCTGAATTTCCATTTAATATCAGTTTTCTTTGGTTTCTGCTTTTATATTAATGCGCTGATGGGCTTTATATTGATTGACTTTTCTTAGTGTAATGAGAACAAAATGCCACTTACCGTTTAAGTCATTTAACTCAAACTAGCAAGCTATCAAGCTGGTTCCTCCCAGGGGAAAATCCTGAGGGCCAGAGCAGAGAGCTCCATCCATACAGAAGTGTTGGTAAGAGAGAGAGTTCTTCAAACATTTTAACTCATTTCAAAACAACAGGAGAGAGTTACACAGCTGAATATGCCAACCAAGTCTTCAAAATCAGCTGGAGCAAGCAAACAGAGCATCATGAACCTTTCTGCAGTCTCTTCAGTGCTGAAGGTGGGTCAGCTGCTCCCTGTCCATGGAGCAGGGACACACCTGCAGCTGCCTGTGGCTGGAGAAGCTTCCATGCTGTGGCAGTGCTGCTCCAGAGCTGGTTCAGTGCCTCTTCTGGAGCATCTGCTCATCACTCACACAATAAGTGTCCCTTGGTGCTTTCCCTGCCTCTTCCTCGGGTTCCTGGGCCCTGTATGATCACTAGGATAGACATTTTAGAATTGCCTTTCCACAAAACAGAGCCTTCACTGAGATGCCAGCTAAACTTTTCCTGGGGCTGTGCCATTCCCAGATAAGATCCCACATAACGTGCTAGGGAATTCTGTGGCAGGCTCATTCTTCACCCATGAAATTAAATCAGTGGCTGTTTCACAATGTATCAAATAACAGGGAAGATACGGCAGTGGGTGGCAGGGAATGCTGCTGAGTCACTGGATATTAAGCAATGCAGAACAAAGCAGACAAGGATTACAGACTCTTTGGGGATGCCATGTCAAGGAGCCATTGGGAAGCAAGCAGCCTGACACATGCAGGCCCAGGCATCTGTCACCACAGCCAGGCTCTGGCCCGAGGCAGGGGCCGAGTACCTCGGAGCCAACCTGGCTGAATTACCTCACCAGGGTCTCGTTACTCACCTGGGGCAGGCTACAGGAAAAGGCTAGAAAACTTGGTCTTGAAGCAGAGCTACAAGTGTAGCTGCTTATTACCTGATTGTTAGTTTTTTTAGCCGGACTTTTGAAAATAAAGATATGTCCTTTTTTTAGCAAAATTAATATAGTCTGATGCCTACCAATGTAGAAGTTTTTATTTGTATTTTCTAAACCTGCTAATGGGTACATGGATGCTTAGTATTTCAGCTCAAGTATTTAAACAAAATCTTTAGCACCCCTTCAGCTGAATTTTTTTTAATATTCACTTCCAGAAATGAACAAATTGTGGCTTCAGATGTCGTCATCAGAAGACATTAAAGGCTAAAGGTATGCAATAATTTGGTTGTGCTAAGGGAACTTCCTGTGAAGCCGTTGCACAAATCCATTGAAGAGAGAATGAAAAGAAATGAATGAAAAGCATAAGTGTGCTATTGACCAGATAGGAGTAGGCTTCTTAGAAATACGTTTGCCACCAAGTTCCTGGGCTCAAGCAAGAATATTTAGTTAAAAAAAGAGATGGAAATGCTGGAGCAGTTCCAGAACAGGCAATGTCCTCATGATTACTTTATTCATCTTGAAAGAGGTAGCTTAGGATATTAATCTGGAACTAGAGGTAAGTGGGGGCTACAGATAGTTTTATGATTTCTGTGACTGATTATGCACTTGCCTCTTTCTTTGAGTGGAACGGTTTTATTTTGCATTCACATGTCAATATACATTCATGCAAAGACTGCAAATTACTCTTTTTACCGTAAGAATGAAGAAATGAACCTGTGGTTCGTGTAGTTGGTTTTGATGTGGACTGAAACAAAAGCAAGCATTTGAAGGGGCAGGGGCAAAATACAAAAAGCCAAGAGATTACAGAAAAATATTAGGAAGTACACTAGCCCTGTGATTAGTGAGCTGACCTCAGACGTGACATCTTTGGGGTTTGACTCCCTGCTTCGCATCACATCTCCTAAAGAGCTTCCTAGCCACAAAATTCCTAGGTATTCTGCAGCCTTTGTCTCATTCTAGTTGGTCATTAAAAGTTTTAATCCTGGTTTCATCTTGATGCAAGTGAAAATAAGTACTGAGCCCTTCTTTTTCTCATTTAAAATAGATGACAATTTTTCCAACCAAGTCTGCTCCTTTGCATTCACTTCTAAATACATCAGGCTCTGGCTGGAGTGCCAGGTTTGGGATCTGATTTTCCTGACTACAAAGAGTTTGTCATGTCAATGCTTAATCTGTCAGCATCCATTTATGGATTGAAGTTTTCTTGACAAAAATACAGCATGCTGTAGACTCAGCAGTTCACTCTCTTCCAGCGCATCAAGACAGACTTGGAACTTACACAGTGGCTATTTCTTTAAGTACATTTTTTTTGTTTGAAGATAAAAACCACACTGAAATACTTCTGCCATAGCAATGCCTACCTTTGCAGCTTAAGACACTGGTGCAAAAATCAGGCAGTGCTGTAAAAATGCAGCAGTGTGCTTAAATGTTACCTGAGAAAGGAAAAAGCAAGTGGGCATGCATGGCTTTTTCTTTTTCTGTGCAACCTGTAGCCCTGCTTTTCTTCCCTCCATTGGGGTCCTGCCCTGGCTTTCCACTTCTTCAACTGGAATTTGAACCCTGTCTTCTGATAACTGTTAAATGATCAATATTCTTCAAGGATCACAACCTGGAAATCCAAACTTTGTTCTCGTTCAGGGGTTTTTTTGTTTGTTTTGCTGTGGTTTTTTCTGCAGGTATAAATCAGTGCAAATCGCTGGAGTGATGGGGTTTCAGCTGCAGAGTGCTATCAAGTAGACAGTGGCAGCACTGCTTAAAATTTGCTTTTCTCACTTTCTTATTCTTGTAATGTCCTTGTCCAGGTCACTGGGTGTACAGGAAATTTAAAGCAGCCACTTTAACCTCTGGATCTTTAGTCTTCACTGAAGTCAGAATAATGGCACTTTAAAGGTATGTTTAAACATGTACTGTTGTAGATGTCCTTTGGAAAGTCTTGGGATTGATGAGCTATTGCTGAACACTCATTTTTCTCCATAGGCTAATCTGTCCAAAGTCTGAGCAGGTTATTTAAAATTCCAACCACTTCTAACAGAATGGTCATTCCTGCACCACTGATAGAAACATCTGCATTTTATTCCGGAAGCATTTTACAGTTCTGCTGCTAAAACACTTTTTCTTACCGGAAACGAGTCTGTGAAGGTTTAATTTTGTTCACCTGCAAAATTCCATTGGTATGACCTTTCCATTGAAATGCACATGCAGCAGCCCTCAGCCTGAGAGGAGCTGACATGGAAATAAATCACAGAGAGAAGTGAGTACATCACCGCCACATTGGCGGACACTTTGAGACCTGCTGAGAACTGTTCTCTTTCAAAGCAAAAAATAGAGAACGCAGACAAAATCAAAGCCAAATGGGAAGAGTTATACCCTCAGAATAAATTAGGAGCATATAAATACATGTTCTGAAGGAGTCCCCTACTCTTTTCCAGAAGAAACTCGCACAGTAACTATGTCATGCTTGTACTTGCAGTGATTTGAGACAGATGGTGAATTCAATGCTTTAGCCCCACAAAGAGATTAAACTGGTGCCAGACAGGAAATATAAAGCACGTCTCGCATTTCACACGGGCAGAAGGGTATTTATATGTGTGTATATTTGTAGATATAAAAATATATCTATTATGCATGATATAGGTGCTGTTTGCTATATATTGTATAAGTTTGTACTGTTTATAATATTAATTATATAGTACAATATTGTATAGTGGACCTATAGAGTTTGAATGAAGTTGCAGAACTCCTCTGTCTCCTTTGTGGACACAGTTTTTTCCACAGTGTCAAAAACCTTTCTGAAGTCCGGGTAGTCAACATTTCTCTCTAAGTGAGTCTGTATGTGTACGTTTATTTAACATTATTTATATATTTAACATATACGTATATCTCCTCTCCAGGGTGCACAGACGGATCTGCCCTCGCAGCGTGGTGTTGTGTCCTCGGTCACGCTGAAGGACCGGGAACATAAACGGAAAGGACAATTTCCACTGAGATTCCCATCAGGATTCGGGCATCGCGCGGTGCAGAGGAACAATGCGCAGGTACGCAGCCACACAGCGGCGGGCCCGGGCAGGACCCGCGGCCCGCCCGGCACCGGCGGCCCGCCCGCCCCGCTCGGGGGCCGCGGGGCGGCGGCAGCAGTGGCCGTGCCGTGCCGCGCTCCCGGCCTGCCGCAGGAGCCGAGCCGCTGCTCTCCGCCGGGCGCAGCCGCGGCTGATTCGAACGGCTGATCGGATTTGAACCGGGTGCCGCCGGTTCTGGCTCTTGGAAGCGTTTCGGTGGGGCCGACTTGTTGGGCTTTCCTCTGTGCAGCCACCGGAGGTTTCTCTCCGTTTCGGTTTGCGGCTGAGTTTCCATGGGGGCACTCGCCTGGGGCCTTGTGTAGCTGTGCCTGCTCTGCCTTCTCTGCTGGTAACGCTTCAGCCTGCTCTTACTCAGCTTGCTGTCGCTTGGTTTCTGCTTCTCTCATGGGAAAACTTCATCTTGAGCACAGCAGAATTCTTAGAGTTCCGAGTTCCGTTGGTTAGCTGTGGGTTAGGAATAAGAGTTTACTTCTTTCACAGAAGACGGCTGGCACATGCAAGGGTCCCGCTACACTTGTTCATGATTGTCTCCTGTTACGCTCTCAGATTCATGTTTTCACCCCATTTTTCTAGTATGTAGTCTTAATTTATTGTTAATACATGCAGTGTGTAACTGAAATTAAGAACAAAACGGATAAAGTATAGCATGTCGCTGGGTATTTTTGTGTAGTGTGTTTGTGAGATTTATCCTCAGTTTTTAAGAAACAGTTCCAAATTTCCTTCAATGTGATGATCTGGTGCTGTGTAAGGCCCACAGATGTTTTTATTACAATACAGACTATTGTTTCGTTGGTATGGATTTAGGACAATAGGGACTGGAAAATGAAATTTCCATGGGAAGTGATTATTGATAATTAGAAATCATGTTTTTGAAAAGGAAAACAGGAGAATTAGAGGTGATTGATTGCTCTGACTTTTCCCCCTACCATTCCCACTAGCACCACCCCTTTCGCTCTTGGTGCTAGATGTATTTTTGTGGGTGTATAACACACTGTACATACCCACTTAGTTTTTCTGGTACTGCCGTGTTACCTGCTGAGGAGTTCAGCTTCTCTTTTTTTGCTAGCCCTGCTTCCCATTCCAGCCGGGAACCCCTTGGAATGTGTGAGTTGGCCTGTAAATAGTGAGTTATGTAAGGTCTCTGCCTTGCGCAGCTCATCCCCTCTCTGCTCCAAAGCTTGTTAATTAGGGCAGCTGCTTCAGCCGTGGATTAGTTGTGCTTGGGAGGTCTGCAGATTCAAGGCTCAGGTCCCATCCTTCACCTCATTGCCCTGGCACTGTGCTGTGTCCCTGAAAACAAACAAATCTGCAGAGTTCCTTCGGGATCAGTGAAACAAAGGAGCTGTTTGGTCTTAAGGCATATTGTTCCTTTTAGGAAAAGGAGAAAAAGAGAGCCCCTTGTAATGGACCCACAAAAGCAAGAGCCTTATCTACAGACCTAGGTAACTGTGGATTGTGTGGGGTTCGCTGCACTTAACCTGATGATGAGTCATAATTAGCTTGAAAGTCCCTAAGGGCGTTGGCATACAGCATAAGAAAAGGGAGAATCCTGTAGAAATGGGCTGATTTTAAGTCTTACCACCAGGGCAACTAGAAATTGTTGTGTCTTTTCTCTTCTGAGCTGGGTAGAAACACTGTTCGCCCAAAGTCACCAGAGGGCAGGCATGAAACCACAGTTAATGTTTCAGTTCTTGTTACACTTTAGTGGTGATGTGCTAACTGTACACACAGCTCAGCATCTAGAATGCTTGGACATAATCAGTGAAGGTTGATTAATCAGGACTATCCCTGAGGATGCTGTGTTTTTTCTCTTTCTGTGTTTAGGTCACACATGCCATCCTGCTGGCTTTTGCCCCCCCCACATTCTTTTAGTTTACATGTTTCTTGATTTCAGTCTAGTGATCCCAAAATATGATTTGTGAAGAGCAGGCAGTTAGGTATAAAAAAGAAGAGAAAAGCAAGTTTTCCATTATGCATTAATTCTTTCTTACAGTTAGTTTTATGGTTTGGGTTTTAATTGTCCATCTTTGGAGTTACATCTACATGATCCTTGTTGAAATGCATTGTTGGATCACTTGTGTACATTCATTTTGGTCTCTGGTGCTGAACAGTTGGCTAAGCTATGGTGCTCATATTGTGAGGAAGACAGCTTTCAGCTGATCATATTCCAGCTAGTCATTCAGGAGGAAGCAAATTACCTCAACACAGTAGTCTACAAGCTTTTCTTGAAAATGAGGCATGTGTTTTGTCCCTTATTCCCAGCAAAACTCTTTTTCCTAAGGCAGTATTGCTGGGAGATGGAATACTCAGCTTTTGACTGGTGCCCAGTGCAGTTCAGTAGAAGAAAGCTGAGCTTCCATGCTGGTGTAATGGGATCCTCTCAATAACACACAGCAAAACAGCTGCTGGGAACCAAGTGTCCTGCTGATGGGATGTGTTGTCTCTATTCTACCCGAGTAAAGAGCTCTGGTATGGTAGATGATTTATTGAGTACTGAGGATCTAACTTCCATGCTGTGTCTGACTGCTCTGAGTTTATAGAAATAAAACTATAAAAATAAAAGTATAGCAATAGTTTGGTCCTTCAAACTGAAAACACTTTTTTAGTCAAGTGTGTCTTCTGCATTAGTTTCATCTAAAATAAATCCAGTTCAGTGTGTCCTAATCACTTTTTGAAAAGCTGATTGTGTGTTCTTAGTCTGTAGTTAATGAAAGACACTGCTGGTTCCCAAACAAACCAATTTTACCTTAGGGTAAAAAGTGCTGTGTCATTAAATGTTTTGTCCATAAAGAGATAGAGGTAGGAAGCATGTCTGACTTGATGACAGAACATGAAGGTGAAAAAGAGAAATTATCACTCAGAATTCTGGTGTCTTCATTTCTACAGCTACTCCTTGTAACAGTACATTGTTGTCACCATTTACAGTTTCTTGCAGAATCCTAATCAAACTGATAACAGGTTTGTACCCCTTACATCTTAACGTGGTTCATAGGTTCAAGAATGTTACATGCACATAAAGACTACAGCTCCATGTAGCCAATCATTTGTCTGAAAACATCTGCAAGTATTAAAATGGTAGTGGTGTTGTAGCTGATAGATTTGGCAGACATTTGTCATTAACACGTGGAGTGTTGTCAGGTTGGAAGTGCTGCCATTTGCTCATAGCTCTTCAAGTTGATCTTGGTGAATGAAGTGCTATGTTAATCAGTAGTGCTGTTGCTGAACACAGGGGTTACTAAGAATGTTGGTGATTTTGCATCATCTAGAATGTCTTTAGTTTCACCAGCTGTTTTGGATTTTGAATGAAATACAAAATATATATTGGGAAATAAGCTTTAAATGTGGGAGGTTTTTTCAAATAGTAGCTGTGAAAAATGTGTTCTCTGTAGAACATGGGATTATTAGGAGATAACTTAGGTTTTGATCCTGTGTTGCTCTAGATAGCTGATGCTTGTAAATCTTGGAAATGCTTGCCAGAAAGCTCCAAGTTCTCGTGGCACATGGAAACTTTAACGATCATCAGAAATAATTTGAGTCTTGGGGCTGTGGTACTTGGGTGTTTTCCCACGAGGGGTTTGTTTCCAGTGTGTGGATGACCAGTCTGTGTGGTTCAGGTATGCCTTGTTCAGTCAGCTGCACAACCTGGTCTGGATCTGGAGGTTTGTGGTGTGTCTGATAATTCCTGTGAGGGGACAGAACACTGCTGTGGGCTGTGTCCTGCCAGTGCCCTTCACCCTGATTTCAGAACGTGCACCCTGCTGCCTGCTCATCCTGTTATGGAAGTGCACTCTTTTTACACTCGTGTTTTAGAAGTTTGTGCCTTTTGCATGTCCTCTGTGCTGCTGTGACACCATTGAGTAGATGTGCAGTCACATGAAAAATGAGTACCTAGAGGTTAATTACAGAAAAAAGGAAGTCATGTCTTTGGTCTAGCTATGTTCCAGACTTCATCCTGTTCTAAAATGATCTGTGCATAATTTTATATAGTAGTTTAATCACTGCTTTTTTGTCTTTGTGATAATGAAAGTAATCCTTTCTATCTTCTTTTCTAAGAGGCTGTTCTAGTTCTGATCAAGGACTTCTGTGTTTCAGTTTGATGTAACAGTTTGAAAGTACAAGTGAGGGATGTGAATGTATTCTGCTTTTCTGTGCTGCCAAGAGAATGTCATGTTGCATTTGGTGCCTCTCTTGAGCCATTCTGGTCTGGAGTCAAATCCTCCATGGAGTTCATTACACAGAGCAGCATTTATGAGAAAATGGACAATGTGAACTCTTAGGAGCAAATTTCAAGGAACTGAAAGAGCTTTGGGGTTCAGGATTCTAGACTATAGAGATGTCTCTCTCAGCTGAGAATATCAAAAGGAGTTCTGCTGGTTTTATAAGCATTTGAGGAGGGAAAAAAAAGAGGCCAGATAGTCACATGAAAAATGAGTACCTAGAGGTTAATTACAGAAAAAAGGAAGTCATGTCTTTGGTCTAGCTATGTTCCAGACTTCATCCTGTTCTAAAATGATCTGTGCATAATTTTATATAGTAGTTTAATCACTGCTTTTTTGTCTTTGTGATAATGAAAGTAATCCTTTCTATCTTCTTTTCTAAGAGGCTGTTCTAGTTCTGATCAAGGACTTCTGTGTTTCAGTTTGATGTAACAGTTTGAAAGTACAAGTGAGGGATGTGAATGTATTCTGCTTTTCTGTGCTGCCAAGAGAATGTCATGTTGCATTTGGTGCCTCTCTTGAGCCATTCTGGTCTGGAGTCAAATCCTCCATGGAGTTCATTACACAGAGCAGCATTTATGAGAAAATGGACAATGTGAACTCTTAGGAGCAAATTTCAAGGAACTGAAAGAGCTTTGGGGTTCAGGATTCTAGACTATAGAGATGTCTCTCAGCTGAGAATATCAAAGGGAGTTCTGCTGGTTTTGTAAGCATTTGAGGAGGGAA